TTCCCATTCCTGACCATGAATGTGGAGGCAATTGCAGGCAACAGTTCAAAAGCTCATGATGACGGTGATGCGAGCGAGTGCTGCACCCTGGCGGCGGGGTGCAGAGAGAAACCCGTCGGCGGGTGGGGGTGGGGGAGGGGCGGTCTCGTGCAGTTTGCGCGCGGGGCCCTGTTGCGCGCCCCGCGTGACGCGCCGGGCGGGCGGGGAGGCGGGATGGGGGAGGGGAGGGAGAGGACGGAGTGGGGGGGGGGAAGGACGGCGCAGGCGCGGGCGCGGGCGCGCGTCTGCCCGACCGTCAGTTGGCTCGCGCACCACCGCCGCGCCCGCACGTGCTCCTCGCCAGCCAAGGACAGCGCAGCGCTCCGCTCAGACGCCTGGATACCTCCTGACACAGGTGCCTCTCCGCTATTCTCGGGGTTTGCTTTCTGGTTTACGTACGTATATACGGAGGAATAGGCCTACTTCAGGGAAAGTTATCTTACGCTGCGCGAAAAACCGCGGGTTTTCTCAAAAAAAAAAAACCTCTTATTACAGGGCCCTGGTGACAAAGTGTTTTAGTTTTTTTTGTTTTTTTTGTTGTTTTTTTTTCTTTCAAAACGTCATCCGTCCGTCCGTCCGTCCGTCTGTGAACACCACTAGCGCCTAAAACATACGAACGATTTTTTTCCAATATAAATATTTCGTGTCGATATGGCTCGAGACGCTGCGAGTTTGAAAACCTTTCTTCAACATTTGGGGGTACTTCATGTGAAGCACCCCGGATGGTTTTCAATTTTTTCTTAACGTCGCCGGTAACATTAGGACATTGTAACACCCCCTGCCTTATAAAATGAATATTTTTCATTAATTGGCCAACGTCCTTTCCTACGGGGCTTATGGTCTCAGAAATGTGCTTACCACTGTTAAAAAGATTCATTTATTATGACAGGAGGTGTAAGAATGACCTAATGTCATGGAGCGCGTTAGAAAAACGAAGCATATACTCCGATTTATACGTAGTCGCGCCTCAACGTCACGAGCTGAACGGAGAGGGGGAGACTGTCATCCTATCGAAAGCTTCGTTGCGACTATTTTTTTAAATATTGGAGCTACCGATTGGATGGCAATGTCTCCCCTCTCACCTAGTTCATGATATTGAGGCGCCTCGTTCACTAAATCAAAGTATACACTCCGTTTCCTCTCAGGTTTCGTCAACACGTCTCTTATTTGCACTTTTCGGGGCTTTGAGTGTAATACTGTGCGGAGTAATCGTCTGTTGAGTTTGGTCATTTTGTGTCGTCAGGCCTCCAGTCAGTGCCTTTTATCCCTTTGGCCAGGGTCTCTGCTCCGTGAGCAACAAGGTTTCCCCGGCGGTCACCACTCCGGGAATCCGCGGTTTCTCGAGTTGCTTAACGTCCGTGGCTTCACGGAGCGCAGTTAACAGACGCGTATCTAGGTATTCAGGAGCCCGTGGCAAGCATAGATTTTGCGCCACAGTCAGAATATTTCAAATTACGGTTGTTGTCTTGTCTCAAATTACGGTTACTTGTTTTAGCGGGTCTACTCTAAATAGTGCCCCTTGTGGGTCGCGCCCGTGGCATGTGCAGTGTCTGCCATGTCGTAGATACGATGGGTGGTGAAGCATTTCGCCTAACGAAGCCGACCCAGTTTATTAGTGACTTCTGACGGTCGGTTGTCCATTTAGGAGCTGTAATACTAAAAATGAAGTCGTGACGAAGCTTCCAATTTGATTACCGTCTTCAAGTGATGATCTGGCAGAAGTGACTCGATTTAAATCGAAATAAATACGCTTAGTTTTGACAAATGATTTCGGAGTTCGAGTGAACGACGCATGCGCAGAGCTTCCAAGAAGCTACTTCTTTAAAAGAAGGTGCCTTCTTTGATAATCCGAAATCGTCCGCTAAAAGGAAACACTAGACACAATTACCATCTGTATATAATTCACTCAATATTCAAACTTAAAGCATGATGTCATCTAAAGTCGTAGTCTGTAATGTTATACTTCGTAGGTCCTAACTAGTGTTGTGCGAGCAGTGTTACACTTAAATAGCTCAATTTACGGTTCCCATGTACTAATCATTGTGTAAATTTCGAAACCCCATGGGCTTAAATGTTCTCTTGCTTATATGTCGTAGGATTTCCACGTTTGCTTTTTTCTGAATAAGAATTCAACGATAAAAATTGGTCCAATTCACGTGCCTATGAACAATTCATATTTTACGAGTTATTTCCATTTTATAATTAAATGGCACTCAGTTCTTTAAGTGTACTAAATATAAGCACATGTTTCTGCAATGCCAGAACTGAAATTTAATTTAAAGTTCCCGCAGTTTCTGTTTCAATTAATTTCAACAACAGTAGCTCTTTCATCTGTCTTCACCACATTTGGCGAAAAGAAATCACATATTAGTATCTGAATGGGTTTTTGGTCTTCTCTTCCTTGTGACAATTGTAAAATATTTCTTTCTCGATTTAGAATTCCAAGACATGTTATTCTAAACCAACGATGCATTTACTCCAAAAATAATTAAGAACTATACAGATCTGAGTTTGTGACTCCCATCTCAATGAAAATTGCTACCAGCTACGCTGTACACTCAATGTCGCTTTCGGTCCCTCAATTTCTCACTGTTTTGGTCGTGAAATGCGTGCACAGCGATCAGAGTCGCCGATGCCACTAAGGCGGTAGTGCCGTGGCGATCTCTGGCCGAAGGATCGTGGGTTTGGGTCCCACTTCGGACATGGTTGTATTTGTGCTCGTAACTTGTCCCCTCACCATCACCGTACCTCTTCATTTAGTATAGAGATACCTCTGAGGTTAATCAACAGTGGTCTCTGATGGCCTAGCAGTTAATGCGGCCTTAAATAAACAAAAAGAACGTGGAGGTCTTCCGTGGAGAGGGCTGCGGCGAGGAAGTGGGCAACAGAAAGTGAGCGGTGATAAGGCGCACGTGTCGGTGCTGCGCCGTCACGCCCGGGGGCCAATGGCGGCGCGGGATCTCGCTCCCAGCTGAGAAAGGTTCCTCGAGGGGGGGGGGAGGGGCGGTTCGCGTGAGATCATCTGCAGGCGGCTGTGTCTGTCGTGTGCGGCCCTTTTCAAAGTTCTGCGTTACGAGAAAGGAAATAATTTAATTCTTTACGACTACTTTCATTCGAGGAATTCATTCTATTATATCGATTATGACATGTGGATTATGTTGCGGCTGTTTTTATCTCAAAGAAACGTTCTTGAAAGTATGAATTACAAAAGTCCTGTTTGTATAAATGGTGTATGGAGTCATTTTTATTAACATGTCTTCCCTTTTGAATTAGTTTTTTTGATGATAAATATTCATTGAATGCAATCGTGAGTTAAATATTTCCATATAAATCTAGTTTTCATAGATTTCTCCTCACTTTTTTGTGAAAACGCTTCTTTTTTATCATAATTCCTCGCAATTGACTTAATTATTGTCATCAATACTTTGATCGAAGTGTTTCTAGGATTATCTCAAACGGTTGCAATCGAATAAAACTTGACAAAAATTAATAAGTAGTTACATCGTTATATACTCATTATCCACATATTCAGAATTTTATGATTATGTTTCTATTAATGTCTCCTTAATAAAAAGAGTACTTGAAATAAAAAAATATTTTAAGGGAGTTTTAGTTTTTCTAATTAAATTTAAAATCGCCGAACATCTCAGACATAAAACCGGAAAGGGCTACTGTTGTTGTAATTCGCTTTGGGACAGGATGTTTTCTCCCTGTTACTGTGAGTCATCGCACTTCTTAATGAACATTATTCCATCATCGCCCAAGTTAATCAAATTGTGATTATATTGATGAATTGAAGTGACTCGAATATTTTCAAGGACCGCTATTAGCACGAACGTCCTTGCAGGGGGATTCCGCTCTAACAGTGTGTGGAGATAAATATTTCAATTCCCGTCTGAGCATCTCCCAGTGGCATTTTCCCTTCTCTTTCTGTCCCTTCTTCATCGCCGTCTCCTCCTTCGCTTCATCCTGCTCCTTTAGTCCCTTCTTTTTTCATACTCAACTCCTCTTTCCTCCTCTGACATGCCTCCACTGCCTCCTCCTCCTTTCACCTCTTCTCCATCTTCTGCTCCTTCCTTCTCTGCCACGTCCTTCTCCTCACTCATCCTCATTCTGATTCCTCTGCTGATCCGCATTCTTTCTACGACGGCGGTCCTGATGGAACGCGAAAACAGACGTCAAAACCGTGCGTGATCCCGTCAAACTTCAATGCCTGATGAGTTGCCTACTTCACAGGGGCAACTTATATTGTATTTCTCATCACGTGCTCATTGGAAATAGGTGAGCATCTTTGATCCGTTTGAATACCCGAGACGTTTGTGACCTTTATTTTGTCTGAGATGGAGAAGACTGTGTGTGTGTGTGTGTGTGTGTGTGTGTGTGTGTGTGTGTGTGTGTGTGTGTGTGTGTGTGTGTTTTGAAGAAAGCACTGGCATAAAAGCACAGGAATAACTTTGATAAACAAAATTTCCCGCAGCATGCTGATTGGAAAAAAGTGATCATCTTGTGCCTGGGGACGTGATATTGTTGCCGATGTTTCTATAAACATATCTACATTTTGAATATCTATGTGTTGAAGACGATGTTTTTTGAACATTGATGGTTTGTGTGCGATGTTTTAATATTTTCGATATTTTATTCGTGGAAGAAAAAATCCCATAATTACAGGGTTTTTTAAGTTCAAAATGTAATAATATGTGATGTTTAAAAAGTATTACGTTTATTTGATTGAAGCAAATCTGCGCGGTTTCTACTACCTTCGTCGAGCAGACTGCCCCTCTGGCTGAGAGAATCCTGTTCTAGTATTTCTTTCGCGTTTCCTTGTTATTCCCACAAGGAGAGACAAGGATCGATGTATTTTTAACGATGTTTGCCAACGTGGATGTTTTGTTGTCGATATCGCGTGGGGGGAAGGTGCAAAAGGCAGAAGAATAACGTTGTTAAATGAAATTTCGTGCCGCATGTTGATTGGTAAAAAGTGATGTGTTCCCACGGCCAGTGACAGTGAAGCCTATCGGCTGTCCAGGCGACGCAGCGTCGAGGGCATTGCTGTCGTTTCGCCCGTGTCGTGGCCCTTTTCAGGGCTTGGCATTGCAGTCGTGAAGAAGGGCTCGATGTGGAGTTGAGCCGCGCGCTGGGAGCGGGCGTGGAGTGAGGGCGTGTGTGTGTGTGTGTCGCAGCGCGCGGCCGGCGCTCGTCGGAGGAGGTGGGAGCGGCCGCGGAGGGGGAGCTGTCGCAGCGCCTCGTCAACAAGCAGATGGTGCTGCCCTTCGTGCCACCCAGGTTCCCCAGCGCCGCCTCGCACGGCGACGCGCTTATCAAGCCCTCCGAGTACCTGCGCTCGCTCGGCGGCGTCAAGCCCGCCCCGCCCGCCCTGCGCCGTCAACGGGGCCCTGCACCAGTCGCACGCGCCCACCCCCGCAGTCCCTGCCCCGCCCCGCCCCGCCCCGCCCCGCGCCTCCCGCACCGGCCTCCGCCTCCGCCCCCGCCCCCGCTCCACTCAGCGGCGCCGCCGACGACGACGAAAGACGACCACCCACCACAGCGCGCACGAAGACGCCAGGTGAGCGGGCGTTCCGCAAGGGCCTCTCAGGCCTGCGTTACGTAGAATTAACTATAACTAATTGAATGAATCTGTACGATTGGGCTCTAATTTTATATCACTGTGTCAGACTGTATATTACTGTGGGCAGGCGTTCCACAGGGGCACTCAGGCCACACCATAGAATTAAACTATAACAAAGTGAATGAATGTGTAAGTCGATTGGGCTCTAATTTTATATCACTGTGTCAGACTGTATATTACTGTGCAGGCGTTCCAGAGGGCGTCTCAAAGCACACATCATAGAATTAAACTATAACAAATTGATCTGAACTGTATGATTGGGCTCTAATTCTTCTTTAGGGCGCCGCCGCCTCCCGTCGCCGTGGGGCGCGCCGCCGGCCGCTGCCCGCGTCGTGCCCTCCGCCGCCGCCGCCCGGGCCGGCCCCGCCTCGCCCCCCGCCCTGCCCCCGCGCCCCCGGGGCGCCGGCTGCGCACCGAGGCGGAGCGTCTGAAGCAGCAGCAGCAGCCGCTGGGCGCCATCAGCGTGCAGGAGATCAGTAGCGTGCGCCTCAAGCCCACAGACGGCGGCGGCAAGATGCTGGCGGCCAAGACGATGTCCGCGCCCCCGCGCGCCGGCGTCAACGGTGAGCCACACGCACGCACTTCCCCTTTCTTGCGTTTGCTCTCTTCAGCGCGTTTCAGGGCCATTTGGGCCCATTGAGCCATACTAGTGCTGGCATCGGGTCTCTGCCCTCCGAGTGATTGAATCGGAGGACACGATAACCGCGCTCTGCATATCCTCGTAGCGCTGCGGTCAGTCAGTGCCTCTTATCCCTTTGACCAGGGACTCGAGGCACACCTACTGACACAGCCCTTAGCTCCGTTAGGATAGCGAGTGTTTCTTCCGGAAGGTGGCGGGGTTCCTCTCGCGGTGGATGCAGCGGCTTGCAGAGTGTTCCTCCTCCACGTATCTCTTCCATTAGAGCACCGACACGGCCGGGGCAAGCTGTAAGCCCTTCTGGGCAGATGCAACGATTATTACCTACATTTGTTATCGTTTGGGTCTCATTACAAGTTAACGCCTCAGCGATTTAATTTTTTCCACCTCCTCTGAGTTCACCAACGAGGCGGCAAGGGGGAAGGTATGTAAAAAACGGGAGAGACCTAGAGACAGAGGGGGGGAACCTTTTCCCGGATTAGCGATGACATAACATAGACCGAGTGGGCAGAGAGACAGACACACGAACTCGGGGACGACACGACATGTCATTCCCCATCCCCTGCTGCGGCGAAGTGTGGAGAGAGATAGGGAAATTAACGAACGAACATACATGCAGTGGGTTAGAGGAACAGGTACTATCAGAAATGTTAAGATGCAAAATACCGCATTTAAAAGTGTTCAGGTCAGTAATTTCCATTCTATAAAGTAGTTGCTATGAGGGCGATATCTGTTGCCTGTGACTTCTATATAAATAATTTGCCTATGAACATTTTTATTGCTAATTAGACTTTGCATTCTGAAACAGTTAGTGGATCAAAAGGCGTCAATACGACATCGACTCCTAATGGCCTCCTGATGATTGTAGCAACTTCCAATGTATTAACAAATGGTGTATATGGATAATTTGTTTGGAAAACTGTTAACAATGGTCTTTTGTATATTTTATGTTGAATTAATGGTAGAAGATTACTATAACTCAATTTTTAGTGGGGCGTTTTACTAAAAGTGCGCTGCGCAGTACATTCTAAATAAAATGGAACGCCGGACTGAAAAGCAAAGCATTGTGTACTTTCATATCCTTCGGTTTGATCCGGCACAAGTTTGTTTGCTGTGCAGCAGGAAAGAAAGTGTGTCGCGAGTTCACTTCGTAGCTTTGCGTTGCCGTCGCTCTTCTGTTTGTGTAAAGAAACACTTGTTTGCAACAGTAAATACAAACGTATACTTGTTTCAAGTTGTTGAATGAGCGTTTTGTTTTATTTGCTATTTATTTAATTTCATTTCTGAATATCTATTCTTAATTGTTAAGTGAATTTATTTCAAATAAAAAAATCTGTCGGCTTTACATAATCCCAATATAGTACTGGTTTTGACGAAATAATCTGTGTTAGGAGAAAACGTGTTTTTTTAATATTAGAAACGAGAATGATGTGTGATAATATTTTGTTCCCCGAAGTTAAAGGAAATATTGAATCTAGAATAATTTTTCTCAAACATTTAATAATAAATATTCTCTACTGATTATGCATTCGTCAAAACTCATAATGAAACATACGAAAATGTTTTTTAAAATTAATAAAATAGGACATTGGATACATGACTCAGAGCTCAGAATAAACAGAAGACAAATTTGAAATAATCTTTCTTGTGAAGTTATTTTTTTCTCTAATAATATATTTCGTTTGCACTATTTTCGTACATTATTAATCCTGGTCGCATTATTATCATCTAAAGTTGTTTTATTCCCAATGTCTCAAATGAATAACGGGACAGTCTAATTCTTAAAACCTTAAATAGCGTCTTGATATAAAGACTATAATTCATATTCCGTTTTTTAAATTCATTCTAATCGTGTATTTCTAAAACATCAAAATGTTTCGTGGTCTACTTAATGACTTGAAGTTTTGATATTTGCTTGTCTTGAGTGTACATAACATAAAATTACTTGCATTGCAACTTGCGAAACGTATTTCTTCGGTCTGGAAACTAACTCTTTATCTCGAAAGTCAGTAGGTCGAGTAAAAATATAAACAGGGATAAAAAAATAGATATAACCTAATAAGTTCTGAGTAATGTTGTAGCTATTCATTTTTAAATAGGTAGTTTGGAAAGATTGGAGCAAATTTAATTTGCATCCTGCTTTATCTAAACATAGCCCGGGTTTGATCTCGGCCTGGGAACGTTCAAGTGCAGGAATCGCCCGCGCGATCAACCTGCCTCTCTCGTCCTGTGTGCGCCGATGGCTGTCGCCTGGCCGCGCGAGGGTTTGTGGGTCTCGCCGCGACCGCGCCGCCGCGCGCCAGCTGGCACCTGATTGGCCAGTCGGCCGGCCGGCCGCGCCGCGCAGCGCCCGGCTGTTGTTGGCGGCTGCGACGCAGCTGACTCGTGCGGCGCAAAGCGCCCCCCCCCCCCCCGCCCCGAGGAATCGTAATTGGTCGACCGCCCGCGGAGTCAGTAGCAAGATGCGAAGCCTATAACTCCGAGGAGGAGTCGTAAAACGAGCGATGCTCTTCAAATATCTAAGAGTCAGACTACGCAGCTACGGGGTTTCGAGTAGTAAAGTATCTCTTCAGACGCATATGGCAGCAAAGGTGTCTGGATGTTGGCACTCTGGTCGGCCACGGAAGGAACTAGAGGAATCATTGGAAAAAAGTGGTAAAAACTCTGAGGAACACGGCAAGGAACGCATGCGAAGCCAACATGACCTGCCGAGATATTAGGCAACAGTGGGGAGTGGCGCGTGTAATTTGACGAATGGCGCGTGACTTTCACGAATGGTCGAGATGGCGCGTGTAATTTATTCAAGGCGGAAAGAAAGCCAGGAACTCCCAGAAAGAGATGGACGGAACGCGTCAGAAACAGATTCCAAGACTATCAAAGGGAACAATTAGGTAAATATTAGGAGGAGGATTATTAGGGTTTTAATATGGTGGGGGAGTTTATCGTCTAGGTCCGCACGAGAAGATTTATCATCGGTGCCACAACTAAAATAACTTTCAAAGTAACAGGTAGGGAAGATATCTCTCTCGGGAGCAAAACTGATCAATTATCGACTGTTAAGTCTCGAACATAGCACTATGAATATCGAATGAAACCCGCATATTTAAAATAATGTTTCTAAATATGCACTTTGAAGTTTTAATTTGGTGCAAATTCTTTGGGAGGGGACTCTACGAAGCAAGCCTTGATTATTTCCTTAATGAGAATAAAACGTCACAAATAATTTTGAATTTAATTAGATTATCGTGTGGATTTTTTTTTCGATTTCAATAGTTTTATTGGCGTAATACATGCAGCTTTAATGGCCAAAATCAAATTAGTATGAAGGAAGAACTACTAATCAGATTTTACCATTTTAACGTTATTGAAACACCAGTGTATATGGTGTTTTGAATATTTTGAATATTTTTGCAAGTGTGTCAGTGAATTTGAATACTATAATGAGTGCAATCTGGCTGATATTAGACAATGAAATAAATACTCCTCCCTTCAGCAGTCAACATTGTGTGTTCCCCCACTTTAATACTCGCACTGCTTCATTCTTTTGTTTAAAGGGAGTTCGTTGTAGCTCCCCCATTCGCATATGTTTCGTCTGAAGATGCTTGCTCCTAACAACTGAAAAGCCGTGTGGCTAAGCGTTGTATAATAATCTCCTTCTGCAACAAAAGGGAAAAAACATATTAAGTTGAATGTACGGCGATGACGAGGGTTCGAAATGGCATCAACCCTCTTTCTAGCCTCATTTTCTTGCCGAGTTCCGCATCACTCTGCAGTCACGTGGTCACCGCTCAACTGTTAAGAAACCGTAACTGGCACCAATGGCTGCCCTTCAAGATGAGACTGCGGGCACGGCACGGTTCAATACGTTCATGAAACTGGAACTGGGATCTGGTGGCTGAACCGTTTTGCACACGCTAGGGGAATTCCTTTTCATACAATTTAACCCCGTTCTCTTATTTTGCAGTTTCAAATCTATTCCTTAACCAATATATTTGTTCCAGTTATTTTCATTACATAATCGTTACATTTTGCATCATTCTTTCCGCAAAAAGAATTTATTGTTTTAAGAAAGTCTAAAAGTGTTATACGTTCTAAGCAATTACTATTTTGTATTGTGGTCCACATTTATTAAAATCTACGTCGTATTTTGACAAATCAAAACCATACGAAAATTAAATAGAAGCAAGACTTGATGTAAAAGTTTATAGAGCTTGTTACAAAAATATTTGAATAGTTATCTCTTCGGAAGAATTAACCATGAGTCAGAGATGACTTCTACTAAAAGGGAGCAAATCAAATATTTGTATTTTACTACTCCATGCCTGTCTCTTTGTTCGCAATGAATAACTAGAGATTGAATGACTTGCATCATGCATTTCTTTAAGTTATGAGCTACGTATAATCAAAGTATCTAACAATCAGGTCATTCGAGTCGATCATTGTGAGTCGATAACAGTATTGAAACAAATGCTTAACAATCGGACAGTATGTTCCATGCCTATCGTCTTTTTAGAGACGCCAAAAACTCTTGTAGGTGCTGTTGGGGAGGGAGGAAGTGAATTTTTTCGTTTAGAAAAAGACCTTAACAAGACATCCAAAACGCGTTGTATACCGGATTGTTGCTACATTTGTCCTGAAAGTTCCAATGTAGTTATTTTATATCATCTCTGATTGTATCCATGAAGTAAATTCATTCTAATAATAATCAAGAAAAAATTAATTAAAAAAAGTCGCATAGAAAGACTAGAAAATTTCTTCAGTCGAGTTTCAAGTGATAGATGGTTTTTGATTTGTCAGAAGATTTCTAACATCTTCTTCAGAGTGGAAGTCACGTCGTAAAATCTACTGCTAACTTGAAAGTAGATGAAAAAAATAATACCCTTTGATCATTTTTCTTATAAAAGAGAAGTTTTTTTGTTGTTTTTT